GGAGAAGACTACTCATCCTTCTCCTGCAGAGTGGCTGGTGAATTCGAACCATGAGCCTTTGAGATTGCAGTGCAGCTTCTAGATACTAGGCCACCAGTGCTCCCTATAACAAGATTGGTAGTAAGTTAAATAAGTGCTGATGGACCAGAAAATCACACTTGTTTTGTTGTCTTAAGTGAAGCCGGCAGCTTTGGGAGAAAGTCCATGAATCATACAATTCCATTTCAGGTCATTCACAAAGGCTGCTTAGATCAGTGGTTAGGAAATGTAGTTTTTATCTGTTGACTGATAGGAATTCCCTGCAGTAACCACTTATAACAGTGTATATATAATAAAGTAGAATCTACTATTGGAACTAATTCTGAAATGTAGGTTTTTGTTGTTATGGGACAATAGCTCTGAACCCTGAACTATCCTGAGCCAGTTTCACTGTCTCCAACACACCTACCCCCCGTTAGCACAGGTACTATGTCAAATCCACCTTATCTGGGGTCTTCCTCTCCTGTGCTGTCCCTCCACCCTTCCAAACATAATGTCCTTCTTCAAGATTTGGTCCCTCCCAGCAACATTCCCAAAGTATGTGAGATGAAGTTTCCCTTGCCCTAACAAGAGAGTGAATTGCTATTATTGCCATTAAGACTAATGGAAATACTTTGGATCTTAAAAATGCAAGTTTTGTTTTTTTCTTGAAAACTTGGTTTTTAACTGGAAAGTTAGTGTTGAACCATTTTCCAAACTCACTAGCCGCTCTGGGAGAAAGGTCGGTCAGTCACTTCCATAAAGAGTACTGTCTTTGAAACCTCATGGATCAGTTCTACTCTATGTCACAGAGCCACTGTGAGTCGGAATCAGCGTGATGGCTATGAGCTTTTGAGATAGTTTTAGAATTCCATAAATTCTTTTTATATCCCCCTGACTTTTGCAGATAAGGAGAATGGAGTTGGTAAATAGAATAAAGTAAAGCTTTATAGACTAATTTAATAAACTGACATTGTCACTGAATTGTTCCAACTCATAGTGACCGTCCATTGGTTTCGGAAACTGTAAATTTGAACCACTGGAGATGCACAGCTGTTGGATTAGCAGCACAACTCACTACGGACTATGCCATCAGAGCTCCCTTACTTAGGACCGGTGAAGGGAGAAATAAATGAGAATTTCCCCAGTTCCACAACACAAAAATCAAGCAACTTCCACTTCCTTTTCCCTGCCCCACTCCCTTTTACAATGCTTAGTTCTCCAGCAAGGAAAAACTTCAAACTATCCTAAGGAAAACCAACAGTAACCTGATTGTACTCAGCCCATTTAGAGTTGTTCAAAGGAGCTCTGAGACCTTAGGCTTTAGCATTTAACTTTATGGTTGTCAGGGTGATGTCACTGGCAGGGAGGCATTCACCCTTGGTAAAGCAAACAAACAAACATATGATGCCTTTGGTCTGTATTCTTCACACTAACCCGCATGTGTCAGAGTTGAACTATAGTCCTTGGAGTTTTTTCAGTGGCTGATTTTTGTACAAGTAATTCTCCACATCTTTTTTTTGAGGCACTTAGGTGGGTGTGAATGTCTAGTCTTTCCTTTCATAGGTCTGTGGTGTTGATGAAGAATACGAGTGTGGATTGTTAAAATAATGAACAAGTCCGTTTTGGAAGATGTACACGTCAACAGAGAACTGCCAGATGTGTAGGCTGGGTTTAGAAGAGGCTGTTAGGACTAGGGATATTATAACTAATCTTAGATGGATCTTGGCAGAAAGCAGAGAATACCAGAAGAATGTCTATCTGTGCTTCATTGACTATGCAAAGGCTTTTGACTGTGTGGATCACAACAAGCTATGGCTGACTCTGGGAAGAATGGGAATCCCAAAACACTTGATTGTGCTTATGTGAAACCTATACTTGGACCAAGAAGCAGTTATCAGAACAGAGCAAGGAGACACTGCATGGTTCAAAATTGGGAAGGGCGTCTGCCAGGAATGTATTGTCTCCATAACTTTTCAATCTGTATGCAGAACAGATCATCAGGGACACTGGGATGTACGAGGAGGAATGTGGCATCAGGATTGGAGGAAGATTCATCAACAGCCTGCATTATGCAGATGACACAACCCTGCTTGCCAAAACTGAGGAGGACCTGAAGTGCTTGCTGCAGAAGGTCAAGGACTGCAGTCTTCAATATGGATTGAAGCTCAACATCAAGAAAACAAAGATTCTCACCAATGGGCCAATTGGCAGCATGACTATGGATGGTGAAGAGATTGAGATGGTTAACAGTTTTAGTTTGCTTGGCTCCATAGTCACCACTCTTGGTTCCAGCAGTCAGGAAATCAAGAGATGAATTGCATTGGGAAAGTCAGTTGTCAGGGACTCTCTAGAGTACTGAAGAGCAACAATGTCAGGCTGGAGACTAAGGTGCACCTGATCTGGGCAATAGTCTTTGCAGTTGTGTGCTATGCATCAGAGAGCTGGACAGTGACTAGGGATGATAGAGAATTGATGCCTTTGAGCTGTGGTACTGGAGAAGAATGTTGAATATACCATGGACTGCTAGGAGAACAAACAAGTTTGTCCTGGAGAGGCTGCAGCCAGGCTTCTCCTTGGAGTCAAGGATTCTGAAGCTTTGTCTGACATACTTTGGGCCTGTTGCAAGGAGGGACCAGTCCTTGGAGAGGGACATCATGTTTTGGAGAGTGGAGGGACAGTGCAGGAGAGGAAGACCCTCGATGAGATGGATTGATTCAGTGATTGGTGTGTCGGAGACAGTGAGGTTGGCACAGGATAGAGCAGGGTTTAGGGCTTTTGTACATAGGGTTGCTATGAGTCGCAAGCAACTTGACGGCACATAACGACAACAACAGTTGAGGTACTCCTTAAAGGCAGAGATGGTGAACCTTTGTCTCATGTACTTTGGGCATGTTGTCAAGAGAGGTCAGTGCTTGGGGAAAAGACGTCATGCTGTGAACAGTGGAGGGTCAGAGAAAGAGAGGAAGACCCTCAAGAGAGATCGACCCAGTGGCTGGGGCAATGGGATCGGGCATGGTGGAGATTGTGCGGATGGGGCAGGAAAGGGCAAGGTTTCAATGTGTTATTCACAGGCTCACTACATATTGGAGTCTAAGTGTTGTCCTGCCAACCTACAGGCAAATGGTTTGAATTCAACAGCTGCTTGGCGGGAGAAAGATGAGGAACCTCCTCCTTCAGAGTAGCTGGTAGATTCGAAATGTCTACTTTTGGGTTAGCAGCACAGCTCCATACCCACTAGGCCACCAAAGCTCCCTACCAATAACTGATGATTGCTGTTGGTAGGTGCTTTCAAGTCAAGTATGACTCACAGGGCCCTGAGCAACAGATCTGAACCCTGTGCTATTTTGTGCCATCCACATCATCTCCATTAGAGCCCATTGATGCAGTCACTGTTAGATCATCTTGTTGAGTGTCTAATAATAATAATTACTAATGACTTAACTATTGGTAGTGTTGGCATGTGCTGTCGACTCGGACCAACTCACAGTTCAGACCCTTTAGTGGATTTTCAAAGGCAATAAATTGCACTTGAGGAGACTGTCCAGCCTTCTGTCATGGAGTAGCTGGTGGATTTGAGCTACATGCCTTTGGCATTGCAGTGCAGCTTCTTACCAGTAGGTCACCAGAGACAGCAACTAGTAAACCATTCACATTGATTGTGATTGCCACCTTGAATCATACTACTCTTCTGTGATAGGCCTATTTCATTTTATAGAGCCTCACATCCACACTGTGGTTCAGTGGTGGTATTAGGATTCAGCCTCCACTTTTTCTGAAGCCAATGCCCACTTCTTAATCCCTTTGAATTTACTGTGAGATTCAAGTGCCCGTCGTACAGTCTGTCACATAGAATGTTGTTGTTGTTATGTGCCGTCAAGTCACTTGCGACTCATAGCGACCCTATGTACAACAGCCATAAACTCTGCTCCGTCCTGTGCCAATCGCACTGTCTCCCACACACCCATCCCGACCCCAGTCACTGAATCAATCCACTTCATAGAGGGCCTTCCCCTCCTGTGCTGTCCCTTCACCCTCCCAAGCGTGTGGTCCCTCCTTACAACATGTCCAAAGTATGTTAGACGGAGCCTCAGAATCCTTGCCTCCAAGGAGCCGCCCGGTTTGACCCTTTCTAGGATGAATCTGTTTGTTTTCCTAGCAGTCCATGGTACCCTCAATACTATTCTCCAGCACCACAGCTCAAAGGCATCAATTCTCCTTCTATCCTCCTTAGTCATTGTCCAACTCTCTGATGCATAACAAGTGATAGCAAAGACCATGGCCTGTATCAGACCCACCTTAGTCTCCAGAGAGACACCATTGCTCTTCAGTACTTTGGAGAGGTCCCTAGCAGCAACTTTCCCATGGCAATACGTCTTTTAATTTCCTGGCTACTGGTGCCGAGAGTGTTGACTGTGGAGCTGAGCAAACTAACGCTGTGGACAATCTCAGTCTCTTCACCATCCATCCTGATGCTGCCAATTGGCCCAGTGGTGAGAATCTTTGTCTTCTTGACATAGAACAGAGACTCCATTCTGGAAAATACACAATCTGCAAATTGAAAAAAAAACAAGAAAAAAAAAAACAAACAACAGTCTGCAAATTGGATCGTCCAGGGTTCGGCCTGGGAGCTCATCTTCCCTGGAGGCTGGCAGCACTCAGGAGCCCGAGGCGGGGTAATTGTGAGCCGACAGTACGACAGATGAGGTCCCTGCAGGCGGAGGGGGCGTGGCCCTGCTGGCGGTGGGGGCGTGGCGTGGCGCCGCTCGTCCGGGGCCCCCTATTACGGCTTTCCCGCCAGCCTTGGCGGGGCGTCCTTAGCAACGCGCATGCGCACTCCCGCCCCGCCCCGCTCCCAGTGGGTGGTGGCCGTAGTCACTGCGCCTGCGCGCTCGCACAACCGCCAGCGGCGTCCACTCGGCGCCCGCTTGGCCACTCCCTCTCCTCCTCCTCCTCCTCTGGCCGCGGAGCGAGACGCCAGCATGGAGCCCGAGGACCTGCCGTGGCCGGGCGAGCTGGAGGAGGAGGAGGACAAGGAGGAAGAGCGGGAGGACGAGGGAGTCGTGGTGGAGGAGTTGGCGGGCAAGATGTCCCCGGCCGAGCCCGACTTGAGTGATGAATTCCAGCGTCGGGACAGTACGGACGAAGAGGACGAGGAGGCCGAGGCCTGGCTGCAGGCGCCCCCGACCCAGGTCTTGACCTCGTGGGACCGCTACTCGGAGGACAAGAGGTCGTGTGTGAAGACGGTGAGCGGGGCTGGTTAGGGAACTAACGTGCTGGCCGGGGCGCTGCGGCCACTGCTGACCAGCGTCCGGGACTGCGAGGCGGGGGCTTCCTCCGTGCGCCACCAGCCTCCTGTCCCGGTGTCGGACGAAACGCGCTGCCGCAAGTCGGGGCTTATCGGGGTCCCCTCATCTCCCGCGCTTTTTGCGTCCAACTCGCGGTTCCCGGGCCTTTTGGGCAACGCTAGGAGTTGGACGGGTGGACTCCTCGGCTGTCCTATGACCCCTCGGCGGCCTCAGGTGTGCAGAGGAGGTGGTGTGACCCCCTGGCGACCCCAGGTATGCCGGGGTGGGAGAAGCGGTGGTCCTTCTCCTGCCCCAGGTGTGCGAAGGAGGGGGCATCAGCCTGCAGCGGCCCCAGGTGTGCGGGGTGGTGTCGCCCGTGACCCCGTACCTGCCCCAGGTGTGCGGAGACACCTGGCTCCCTGTGCATGTTGTTAAGCAGCGCTTGGGGGAGGAGAAGGGGCGTGCGCCCTGCGGGAGTGGAGAGTGTGGCTGTGCTGTGGCTGCGCTGGGAGTATCTTGTTGGGGAGACAGGAGATGAGTTGGCTTAAAATCAAGAAGCCTCATCCCGAGGGACTGGTGTGGATTACGTACCTTTCGTCTCTAGAGGGGGGATCTCTGGTGGCCCTGAGGGTAAGGGGTTGCGCTGCCAACCCAGAGGCAGGCGATTCGAGTCCACCCGGTGCTGCGCGGGAGGAAGAAATCGAGGCTCCCAGGCGATTTGTTCTTGTTGTTAGGTGCTGGGGAGCTGACTCTGGACTCGTAGCAACCCGATACACAACATATCTGAACCTTACCCAATCCTGCGCCGCCCTCTCCATCTCTGATGTGCTCCTACTCGATGTTACTGCGTCATTCTGTTTCCTTGAGGGTCTTCCTCTGTTTTGTAGATCCTCCACCTTTCCCAGAATGATGTTTCTTTCCCAAGGCTTGCCGCCTCCGGACAACATGCCCAAAGGATTTAAGAGGTTTGACCATGCTTGCTTCAAAGGAGCGCCCTAGTGCACTTTCTGTGGGGTTTTTTGGCAATCCATGGGATACTCACTACTCCAGCATCACAACTCAAAGGCATGCATTCTTCTGTCATCCTTATTCACTGTCCAACATTCAAATGCATGGGAAGTAATTTAAAAGATCACGACTAGTATCAAGCACCATTTAGTCTTTTAAATGACAAATTCTGCTTTGATTCTGACTGGAAGACATTGAGTTCTGAGAGTTTCTAGAAGGCACTCTTTTTATTTATTTATTTTATTTTTGTGTGCGTGTACCGTCAAATCAGATCTGACTGGTACAGGAGGAGATTGTCTCTCCTTCCCCGGCAGAGCATCTGCTGGATTCAAACCGAGCACCTTTGGGATTGTAGTTGCAGCTTCTTGCCACTAGGCCACCAGAGCTCCCCTAGTTCTGAGAGTTTCTAGAAGGCACTCAGCCTTGGTGCTCCTCAGGATCCAGGTTCCCCAGCCAGTAGGAGGGACTTCAGATGCATATTGTTGTTGTTGATTGCTGTCAAGTCCAGCACAACTCATAGCAACCCTGTGAACAAAAGGCCTGAAGCCTTTCTGTAACTAGTGTCATTTATTAGAGTTCATAGAGTTTCCAGAGGCATGTTGTTTAGGAAGTGGATGCCACTCCTGCTTCCAGTCAGATGTATAAGCCTCGTGATTTGCCCTCAAACGCTCAGGATGACTAGAAAACACAAGGGAGTGCATGATGGAGAATGAGCTGATTTAAAAAAAATTTTTTTCTTTTATATTTATTTGCTTACTAAGTTCTTATACATTGTGTTTCATATAATCATTTTCAGTCATTGTATTTTATAAAATCAGTCAACATTGAACTATGCTCACCATTACCCCATCTTTCCAGATCCCTACCAGATCTTTCCCATTTCCTTTATCCACCTTTCTCTCCATCCATCAGATTGTACGATCCTGTGATTTCCCCTCTGCCCATCTTTACCCCTCTGTTCCTTGCACTCTCCTGGGGTCCTCATACATGTTTTACTAGTTATCTATTTCTATAATAATGGTCTTATGCAGTATTTGTCCTTATGGGACTGAGTTCACTCTTTGTTCTCCAGTCTCTGCCAAGTTATGTAGTATGTATGTAATTTAGAAAGCATTGCTCCGGAGTGCTGTGTAGTATTCAGTTGTGTGAATGTACCACAGTTTCTTAATCCATTTGATTTTGAGTGGGCATTTGGGCTGTTTCCATATTCTTGCAATGGTAAATAATGCTGCTATGAACATTTGTGTGCAAATTTCTTTTTGAGTCTCAGTTCTGATTTTCTCGAGGTATATTCCAAACAATGGAATAGCTGGGTTGAATGGAGTTTCTATGATGAGCTTTTTGAGAAAATGCTAAATTGCCTTCCGCGTGGTTGTAATCTAGTCCCACCAATAGTGTTCCTATCTCTCCACGTCATCTCCAACGTGTATTGCTTGCTTGCTGTCTTTTTAAACTTTAGTGAGCTGACTGTTATTGTTAGCCTGGGAAGATAGTTTTGGAAATAGTGCTGCAATTAATTTACTGCTTTCCAAGGAGAAAAAAAAGCTTGCTCTAGAATTAAAATATGAAGTCATCAGACAGGAAAGGCATATTGTAAAGATACAAGTGCCTTAGTGGGACATTGCAAGGGACTGCTCCTTGAGAAAAGATATAAGGAATGAAAAGTAAAATCAGGCAGCTGAGGACAGTAACAGGGAAATGAGTGTAGAGTTGGGCTATTCAAGTGATTACTAAGCACATACAGCTGTTATAAGTTTAAATTTTAATTAGCTAAAATGAAATGCCGTTGTTTGGGGCTGTCAGTAGACTAGTTCATAGCGACCCAGTGGAGAACAGATCTGAACTTTGCTTCCCCCTGCACCACCACCATCCTCTCTGATACACCAGAGCCCATTGCTGCAGTTACTATGTCAGTTTGTCTTGTGGAAGGCTGTCTTGTGGAAGGCCTTCCTCTCTTTCTCTGATGTTCTTACCTTTCCCAGCAATATGCCTTTTCCCAGGGACGTATGAAATAAAAAATCTAATGCCACTACTATGTTTAACCACTCTTCAGGGCAACTACACTGAATGTAGGTGTAGAACACTTGCATATTCACAGAAAGTTCTATTGGGCTGTGATACTATACAGACGGCTTATAGAGCACCAGAGAAGAGTTGTTTGGCAAATGTTCCAGTGGGTGGTTGGGCGTGTATTTATTAAACGGTGATCATGTTCGGCACGGCCTGCTGGGTGCTGAGCAAAGCTTCATGAATCCAAACGGTTTCGTTCCTGTGTTGATGCTGTTCAGTGTTGAGGGGGAAGAATGGACAGTTCAGTTGGTCACACGAGTTAAAATCAAACTCTTGAGTGCCGACATTCTGGGAAAGCAGACAGGCAGGAACGTTGTTGGTGAAGCTGGAGAAAGCCACCCTGACGAAATGAGATCCTGTGTACTAATTGAAGGAGGACCAGATGGAAAGGGACTGTCATTACTGGAGAATGTGACATTTTCACAGGGCCAGCACAGGTGGCAGGTAGATGGCCTTTGTGGTTTCATACCATGACTTCAGAGACTTTGGGAGCTTTGGAAGCACAAGGAAAACGTCTGAAAGAGTGCATGTGCAATACGATTTGTGTTTCAGATAAGATTTTAATTTAGTAGCGTATTTCCAAAGTGTGTTTAAAGGAGAAAATACTTACTATGTCTCTTGCTAGGAATTTATAACCTGTGAACTTTTTTTAGAAGTGTTTTGTAGCATTTGATGCTTTATGCTCAAGTGATGAGACCAAATAGTGGAAACTTTTCATTCATCTGCTTTCAAGTTAAATGGTAAAGAATGTTCTATTTAATTCACTGTTTTATATTTTGCTTACTTGATAATTAAGTTATCTTAGGGAACGGTGTGGCCTAGTGGGTAAGGAGCTGTACTACCAACCCAAAGTCAAGTGGTTCGAATCCACCAGCAGCTCCTGCAGAGAAAGATAGACATTTCTACTCCTGTGTGATTTACTGCCTCTGAAAACCCCCTGGTGGGTCAGTTGTGGGTCGGTTTGGCACATAACAACAAGAAGTAGTGGTGATATGAGGAGTCTTACTGGCCTATTAGGGAAGTAGCTACTATCTGAAAGGTTGGTGCCAGGCTGCCTAGCCCACATCAGCAGGCTACCACTTAATCATGTTTCACAGAGGAAGGAGAGAGCACAAACTTGGGTTCCTTCAACTCCTCCTCCTCCTCCACCACCATTCCAAGTACAGGTAGACTGTGAAATTCGTCATCTATTTTGGTCTTTAATATACTGTAGATTCTTAATAGTAATCCTTATATTCCTTAAATGAATGCTCTTTAGTCATAGTGCGTTTTTCTCTTAAGGAACTAGATTTTATTTATAGAACTTTTTTTGTAAGTTACTTTCATTTTAAGGAATTTTTTAAAAAAATTGTCAAATTTGACATCAGTGTGACATTTTCATAAAAGAAACTGGGAATTTAAAAAAAACCAAACCACAAAACAACTCCTATACTCGACAACAGTTTAAGTAACCTAATTACTTGCTGTGCATCAGAAAGCTGGACAGTGACTAGGGATGATAGGAGAATTGATGCCTTTGAGCTGTTCCTTTGAGACAAGGACTCAGAAGCTCCATCTGACTTACTTTGGACATGTTGCAAGGTGGGGGACCAGTCCTTAGAGAGGGACATCATGCTTGGGAGGGTGGAGGGACAGTACAGGAGAGGAAGATCCTTGAGGAGATTGATTGATTAAGTGACTGGGGTAATGGAGGTGGGTGTGTCAGATATAATAAGATTGGCACAGGATAGAGCAGGGTTTAGGTCTGTTGCACATAGGGTTGCTATGAGTTGCAAAATGACTTAACTCATGGCATATGATAATAGCAACAAAGGAGTTTTCTTGTTTGTTTCAAAAACATTTCTGGATAGATCACACTTGATCGTGGTATATATATATTGTTGTTGTATACCTTGGAGTTGGAACTGATGCATAGCTGACCCGCTGGGGGGTTTTCAGAAGCAGTTAATTGCACAGGAGGAGATTGCCCATCCTTTTCTCCTACAAAATAGCTGGTGGCCTTGAACTGCAGTACAGCTTCTTGCCACTAGGCCACCAGAGCTATAAATATATGAAAATATCTTTTTTTTTTTTTGCCAGATTTGGTTTGCTAGCTTTTTGCTCATAAGGGATATTGTTTGTAGCTTTCTTTCCTTGTGGCAACTTTGACTGGTTTTGCTATCAGAATAATAATAACCACACCAGTTTCTGTTGAGTCTTTTCTGGCTCCTGGGGAATCCTGTGCTCTACAGGGTGTCTGTCTAGTTGCTCGGCCTTTTTTGAGGTTGCCTCTGGGTGGGCTCGAACCGCTAACCATGAGCTTACTGACTTGCCCTGTCT